TGCTAAGCACTTTACAGACATTATTTAAACCACACAACAAATCTGCAAAGTATACTCCACTTTCAGGTAAGAAACTGAGTCTGGAAAATTAAGTGACTTTCCCTGGGCAAGTCATACAACTGGGCCATATAACAATTAAGTCATAAGACTGGGATCTGAACCCACGTCAGTTTGACTTTAAATCTTATGCTTCTCCCTCCCACATCTGATCTACAGGTTCTGCTAAAGGGGGAGAATGGAACTCATTTACCCACCCCCAGACCCACCCTCTCCGTGTTCAGAAGTTCCGAAGCCAAACTTCAAAGCTGTTTGGCTTGTTAGAGATGAGCCTTCACCTCACAAGAAGAGGTCACCTTCATATCCCTGGACTGAGAGTCCGAGACTTTCTGGTAGAGAGTGGAAAAGGAGCAGCAGAGGCAAACGACCAGGTCCTCGGTGGAGCAGAAACACTTCTGAGCTTGGGTGGAGGGAGTCACCCCCAGCGTTCAGGAAGCCCTATTGCTTGTACACAAGGGTCCTGTGGCTTGTTCCTGTGGCTTCTGTGGGAGATGGCTTCGTGGGCGCTCTAGAGCTGAGGATACTGGGAAGTGACCCAGGTGAGGCGGTCACTGGTGCCCTTGGACATACACTGCTGCTCTTGCCTGCTCTGGGATGCTCTGCTCCTACCCTTCCCTTCCAGATTGAAGTTGCGGGGAAAATGCATTATTTATTCATTGAAAATTCATTCTGGAATGGATAGCCTTCTGAGATGTAATTAGCCACGTTATTTCTCTCCATTAGCAGTCCCTGGTGTTTGCTGGAATTTCTTGTCCTTTTTCCTCTCCATTTCACTCTTTCCATCCTCTTTATAATCTAGGTTGCCGCACTTTTCCACCCCTCCCCCAGCCATCTCCACAGGCTCTGAGTAATTACCTTCAAGTATGGAGAAAAGTCCTAACCACCTCCCCCTCCCCACAGGGCTGAAGGAGCACAGTTTCTGGGCCAGAAAGGGGCGTAAAGATGCCCACCAGGGCCAACAGAACAGGGGAGGCAGCTCCACATGATGAGAGATTGCCTGACTAATGGCAAATCTGGCAGAACTAGGAAGGTTCCTGGCTCCCCACGTCTTAGCTGGGTCATCCCAGGCAAGTAACTTAACCTCTCTGAACTTCTGTTGTCCTCGTAGGGTGTTCAAAGATGGCACTCACATAGGTGAAGCACTTCCCTTGAGGTATGTAGCAGATGCTCAATAAAGGGACCTATGGTTGGGATGTCCAAAGGCAAGACAGTAGTTCTGGGGTCCAAATGAGAGGGAATATGAGCCTCTGGGAATATGAACCTGAATTGCTTTGTGGTGCTTCAGGGGCTGGGCGGGGGAAGGTAGAAAGGAGAACATGAGCAGCATCCTGGGGAGCAGGGCTGGGTGGGCTGGGGTGGAGAGGGTTCTCAGGAGCTCAGTCTCAGCTGCCCTTGTAGCTCTGGCACCATGATAGCTGGCTGGGAGATGGGCTCCCCAGGACCTAGGAGATGGCCCATAGTGCATCTATGGCTGGAGTACATAATCCCTTGGCATGCCACACAGTTCAGGGGACTTCCTGGTGGCTGGGCTGGCTTTTGCTCTGGGAGCCTGCACCTTCTCCATGTTCAGAAGACAGCTGTCTCCTCACGCCCACCCTCCTCCTGCTCCCCTCTTGTTGGGGACACATGATGTTCAATTGTCTCCAGCATTGTCAGAAATACCATGCTCCATGGGGAGCAAGGGCAGAAACCTGAGGCCCCAAATCTAAACTAATTCCTGTCCCTCACAAAGAGGGGCAAAGAGAAAAGCAAAGCTTTAGCATAAAAGATTGCCTGCACTTGGCAGTGAGATAAAAATCAGAGCACATGTGATTTATATCAAGAACTGGAGTGCCCCAGACATAGACAGTCCTGGGGAAGCATCCTTTGAAATGGCTGACACGTGTTAGCAGGGACTCGGTTGCATGGCATTTCACAGAGTTGTGTCATGTTGCGTTGACACGAAAGAAACGGGGAGTCAACTTGGTTTTGAACGCTGGCCTTACCTGCTCTTATAATAATTTGGTCCCCTAGGTTCCTGAGACACACAGAGAAACAGAAACTGACGGGCTCATGGGATCTTGGGCATGAATATTACTTCGGGCTTTGTGGAAGCAGGCGGCATCTTGACTCAAGTGTAGATCACAGAAGGAAACTTTCATGGTGACTTTTATGGACAAGACTCAAGTGTTAGTAACAGCGATGCTGCACTGGGTGCCTCTGTGATCCTGGACCACTCTGGGCTCTTTACGTACAAGGTCTTATTTGCCCTTCAGTTCTGGGAGGCATTACCATCCCCCATGGCACAGAGGAGGATGCCTAGACTCAGGGGAAGAGAATGACTTCAGTTACTGCCTCCAGGAAGGCACCTCATTGTGTGGAGGGTAGCAAATGGCATAACAATGCCTGCCACCAGGAGCAGCAGTCTCAGGGAGTCAACCCACTCCACAGTTGGCAGATATTGCCAAGAAACACCCAACTCACACAAGCACTGGTGGAACAACATTTTACTCCCTTGGAGAAGAGACAGAGCAAGATCAATAGTGGGTGTCTGCCCCTATGGCCAGGGCTCTCCACTCACTGCTGACACGGGGCCATGTGGTCTGTACATACCCTTCTCGTGCTGCTGGTGAAGGACCCGTTCCCTCCCCACCTGGAATAGATGGAGCAGTGGGCTTGGCCGGGTGCCATGTGACGCACAAGCTTACGCACAATAAAGGAGCCCAGCCCAGAACAGGGAGTCAGTGTTCCCACATAAGATAAGCCCCACACCAGCTGAGGGTCCTTATCTCTTGGTAAGGAAGGGTTTCAGGCTCACACAGCCACTGAGCAGGGGCGGACAAGACTGCACGCAGGAGACTGCCTTCCGCACAGCTGGCACCCAAATCATTTTATTGGTGGGCAGAGTCTGAACTTGAACCTGGGTCATTCTGGCACCAAAGCCTATGAGCTTCCTCGCTGCATGAACCTCCTATCTGAGCCGGTAAGGTCCTGCCCAGGAACCTTTGAAAGCTGCCCTCCTTTTTCACCAGCACAGCCTCATCAGCTCACAGACGGCCAGATTCATCAGAGAAAAGATGGGCCAGATGGTCGTCTCCAGGACTTCAACACAAACACCAAGAATAATATATTCTTTTTTTTCAGTACTGGGGATCAAACCCAGAGCTTCATGGATGCAAGGCAGGCACTCTACCAGCCCTAAGAATAATATTTTAAAACCTGGAATTTTTGTGCCCTAAAGAATCCCCATGTACAAAAATTTAAAGAAGAAAAAAATGGATTCCTACCAGAGATGGAGACATGCATCTAAAGCCCTTGGGTGGTTATGTACATAAAGGAACATGGCAATAATGATTTAGCCCCAGAAAAATAAATGGACACTATAAAGCCCTTTTAAGAATCTGAAAAAGAAGGGTAGGGACAAATCAAAACCCATCTTGCTTTAGTGCAGGTCCTGTGATTCTGTTTGGATATTAAACCTTTATGTGGTTACTGTGAGATTTTTATAATATGCCTAAACAATGCTGGCTAATTTGGGAAGAGTTAGGACCTTCGATTTGCACACACAGAACCAGAGGTTAGAGGAAGTTCAGTCGATGATCCATATCCAACCACATTCAAATTTAGTAGTCAGATTTTCCCAGCTCCCTGCCTCATTCCTATCTGCTCTGGGAAACTTATAGTTAACTCGCCATTGTCTCCATTGCTGATATGGAAGAACAGGAGCATCCATCACCCCAAATGGCAAGGAATGCTCATGTATGTCTCCTGCTCCAGACATTTGCCTTGGAGACTTCTCACAGATCTCAGAAGGAAGCCATCCTGATGTGAAAAGCGTCCCATTCATTCCACCCCTTACCAACTCACCTCCTGCACTCTGGAGTACAGGGGAAGCCAGTTAGAGGGAAGAGGTGCTTAGCACCTTCCTAAATCAAGATGGGGCATTGGAGGGAGGCCGATAATAATGTGCTGTGATATGAAAGTCCTCCTGCAGTGCTGCAGGCCAGCAGAACAGCCCCAGTGAATGAGATAGTGAATTGTGTGCACCGAGGACTTCCATATGGACACTGATTCCTTCTGTTAATAAGGATGTGGAAGCCAGAGGTTGACTGTATTCTGATTTCATGGCTGGAAGCTCTGTGGCTCAGAAGGAGGGGGGTATCCAAATTTGAGGTCAGAGTCCAAATTCCAATTTGGAGCTTCTGATTCCAATTTGGTTCGTCTCATTACTATCATCTTCTAATGACTAAGGATGCCTTCCAGTTACATGGAGTAGAAATGTGAGCAGTGCTTAAGACAGGGAATGGTCATTCTGAAGCCATGAGGAACCAACTCCCTGGATGCATTGGATGAATAAGGGGCACCTACCAAGTGCCAGGCAGCAGCGGGATTGGCACTGGGAGGAGCAAGGACAAAAGAATCTGACATTATCCTTGCCCCCAAAGGAATTTGGGTAGAGGGGAGATGGCGCATGCACCAATCTCTGTAATCTACACAGAGAGGGAAGTGAGATGAGATCCAAGAAAGCATCATTCATTCTTATTCAATTAAATCATTCATACAGTCATCAATCTGGCTGACTGTCTTAGGTTGAACAAGACTTGGGCTCTGAATACTAGGCAAATATAACTATCTTCCAGAGGCTACCATTCAAATACTAAATCTGAGTTACTCAAGGAGATTTATCAGAACATATTCCTAGGCCCCCAGCCCAGACCTACTGATTCAGAATCTTTGAAAGTGGTCCTCCCAAAATATGAAACATGAAGATTAATTAGGTTTAGACTGTAGGTTTGGATACTGGTTGGGTGAAATAACAAGCTAAGGAAGTCCAGAGGGAGAGCCAGGAATAAGGTGAGAGGCTTCAGGGCCCACCTCTCTCAGGAAACCCACCCTGAGCAGCCCAACCCATACTGATCCCCACGCCTGCTGAGTCTAACCCCCACTGCACATGCCACACGTACTGCGATTTTTCTGGGTGACTAGTAGTTTTGGTCCCGTGACTTCTGTGTGTCTCACTTCTGAAGGTGAGCACTCCCACTTTCTGAGGTCATTATGATGAGGGTTCCAGGGACTTTGTGACACACAGCAGACTGGCTCTGTACAAGTGTGGTTCAGGAGAGGCCCAGTTCCTCTTGGAACTGCAACTCACCTAAGCGGAAAGACACCTTCCCCTGCTAATTGAGCCTCACTCCAAGTGAGTGCTGGTCAGAGGCTGCTCTGAAGACAGCTAGCAGGAGCCATGACCACTCTCTCTCCTGAAAACAGCCTCTCTGCCATGCTGTCAGCCTCCTTCATCCTGGTGTGTGTTCTTCATCAGTTCCAAGTGCAGCCCTTCCCAAACACTGGTTTGCTCTGGGGCCCTTTCCCCTGCTGGGTGGGAAAGGCGAGACCCCTAAGCTGACACAGGCGGTTGTACTTGATCTTACTACCATTAGCAGGATTGAGACACCCGTGTCTCCTTTTACCTTATCTCTAAGCCAGTGTTACTTTCTCCCCAGATGTAACATTCTGACTTAGTACTGAGTTTTAGATTTGCCAATTCACTCCTGAAAATGCTGGTGAATTTTCTCTGGTGCTTTTGCCAACAATTTCAGTAGGCTGCCACCAGGTGGCAGTAATGCTTTTGTTAGTAAGCAGTTCCAAACCTAGTTAATAAGATTCCTTAGAAATCCGCCCCCGTCATAAAAATTTTCCACACGGTATTTTTTAAAAAAATCATAACTAATTATAATGCCCTCAACCAATCTCAAGTCTCATTAATCATAGTGATTAAGAGAGTCATGCATAAAAAAATGCAAAATGGGCACCTCTTTTCCACAGTTTTAAATGTTATTGCTTTACTGCAGATTATCCCCAGGTCTTGATTTAAATTTTTTATGTTCTCTGAATTTAGAGAAGGCTAATAATAATAAAATAAGCTGTCACGCAGCATTTATCGTGCACAATGACTGTCCTAAATGCTTTATGTATTCATTCTCACCATAGTCCTATGAGATAGATGATGCTATTATCCTCATTTTACAAATAAGAAAATGGAAGCACAGAGACTTAGAAACTTGATGACAGTCACACAGCTAGTAAGTGTAAAGCTGGCATTCAGATCCATGCAGTGGGCTGCAAATCCATCTCATACATGAGGGAGCCTCCAAGTGTGGAGATGGTCACTTATGATAACAAGGAGAGTGTCTGTGGGTTGGGACAAGGTATCAGGGTCAACCTTGCTTCCCAAGGGTAGGCCAATGTCAATTTCTCTGTACCTTCTTGGTCCTCTACATCCTATTTTTGATTCAGAAGATAGCGCATGAATGATTTATTAAAGAATTGATTATTATTAAAGATTCTCAATCCAACCCTATCAAACACACAGTGAAATTATTCCCATTTGGGGCCTGTGGGCTCTTATCTTTTATTTCTATTTACTTTCTAATGTCATTCCTCACATGGTCTGTGGACCAGTGTCATCACCAATCACCTGCGAGGTGTCAGGGATGTATGATCTTAGGCCATGCCCTGAACTTCTGAATCGGAATCTGCAGGTAGGAAGACCCTCAGCTGGGTGCCCTGACATATGCCAGTGATCCCAATGACTGGGGAGGCTGAGACAGAAGTATTGCAAATTTGAAGCCAATCTGGACAACTTAGCAGGACTCTGTCTCAAAATAAAAAAGGCTAGGGATGTAGCTCACTGCCAGAGTATGACCAGGTTCAATCCCCAGTACTGAAAAAAGGAGGAGGAGGAGAGGAAGAGGAAGAAGAAGAAGAAGAAAAAGAGGAAGAAAAAGAAGACCCTAATGTGATTTGTATGCAAACTTGCCTTGAACACATGTGCTCATATTCAGGTACCCAGGAAAGTCGAGAGTTTGAATGTTAGATCATCTAGTCAGCTGCTGCTCTCTGCCCTCAGCACATCTCTTTGTCTGCAATGTGACATTCAAGATCCTCTTCAACAGGAGTGGCACCAAAGGGAGAGAGGAAGCTTTCCCTACTCGAACAGAAACCCAAACTCCTACTTATTATGATATAAACACCTTGCATTGCTTTGCAGGCAAAGCACTTGCCTTCCCCCCACCCCTGACTCACACAAAAGCACACACATACAGGTGTGTGCACACACGCACAATACACACACACCTTATCTAAACTAGAAACAGTTCCCTGTGATGAACTGTTCTACATTTCCAGGATATATAAACTGGAGCACAAGAATGTGTTTAATTAGTGCATATCTTGTGTTTTTCCACTACCCAAGCAGTTTATATTATTATAGAAAATTTTGAAAGTACAAGATAAAGGAAAAAAAATTCCTATTATTCAAAGTGTATCACTGTTGTTTCTGACGTAGAGGATGTTTGTGTAATTTTTTCCCCAAACAATTTTTACAGTGGTTAATAAATGTTATATCAGAGGTGATATAGTTTTTATAATATGTGACATAATATGTAAGTTGCACTGTGAGTATGTGGTAGTGCTATAGAGTACAGTACACAGACTATTGAATATCTAATTCCTTATTTTGCTTTTCTTGGTTAACATTTGTATTTTTCCAGATGATTATTCATTCCTTGTGAACCTCTATTTTTATGTGCCTCACAGTATTCCATGGTGTATATAAACCATAGTTTACTTAACTGTTCCTTTATTGGAGCACATTGACTGCTTGTCTTTTCATTTTGGTAAGTAATGTGCAATGAAAATTATTGTGCATACAGGATTCTTTTTTACTTATTTTCAGTAATTTCCTCATGAGTCAGAAGCTGTGAGCTTTGATTTCTATTGCAAAGTGCAGAGTGTGTCATTTAAAATTCACTTTGAATGAAAAGAAAAGCCAAGGCCCCTCACAGAGGGCTGAACTGCTTGTCCTCGTCAGGTGAAGAGAAAACCTCCCATTGACAAGACGGAATGGGATAGCTTCTTTGATGAGAATGGTCACTTGGCCAAGTCACGGGACTTCATTTGTGTTAACATCCTGGAAAGGGTATGGTCCCCAAGCTACCCTTGGCCTTGCCCTGGAACTGGGGGGACAGAAGTGGCTTGATGTTGGGTGGAACTCTTTGGCAGGGCTCCCACCTCCCAAACCCACCTCCCACCCCCAGGGTCTGCACCCCTTCGTGAGGACAGAAGCCTGGAAGTTCCTCACAGGCTACTACTCATGGCAGAGTTCCCAGGATGAGCGGCTCACAGTGAACAGCATGAGGAGGTAGAACATTCCAGATCCTCTGTCAGAGGAGGGTGGCTGGTGCTACAGGTGGCAGGCACTGCCCACCCTAGCCTGCACATTCAGTCTTCTTTCCCTATTTGGACTACTCATTCTGGGAGACAAGACCTCTCCAACCCGTGCTCCCCACCCAGGCCCCTGACACAGCAGGTGCAGCCAGGTCTGAACCAGCACCTCCGCAGTCAACCCCAGGCATGAGCTTAATCCCAGCACCTCTTCTCATGACCCATTCCCCCTGATCCCATCCTCCCCTAGGCTTGTGATAACTACCTCTGAAGCAGCCCTGGAACTGCTTCTCCCACCTTCTTTCCCTGGCCCCATCCCTGCCCACCCCTCAGCCCCATGGCTGTGCTGCCTTCCCTGGGTCCTCCACCTCCCGACCCATGCCCACATCTCCCCTCCCCCAAGAGCCCAACAGGAGACTTTAAAACATCCCCAGTGGTACAACTAGTAATATTTCAAATAGCATAGTCTTTCCGCCAAGGCCTATCCTGGTCTTGACTCCTCCTGTTTCAGCACCTCACCTTCTAACCGCACTGTCTGGCTGACTGGCACCCCATTTGCTCACCCCACCCCTGCCCCAGCACAGACCATCTGTATTCCCTCTGCTCTTGGTCTGCTCTTTGTCTTCCACCCTTACTGGGCCTCCTCATCATCTACCCTCTCAAAATCCACCCTTCCTCCAAGGCTCAGATTGGACAGGGGACTTCCTCCAAGCAGCCCTCCCAGACAAGGGAGCCAGGATGTGTTACTTTGCTAACACACAGTCTTTAGAGTCTACCTGTGTTAGTCTTCTAAGGCTGCTGAAACAAAGTTCCATGGACTGAGAGGCTGCCCATAACAAGACAGTTTGTCCCTCATAGTTCTGGAAGCCAGAACCCAAATCAAAGCATTGGCTTTCTCCGAAGGCTCTGGAAGAGAGCCCTTCTTCACTTTCCAGCATCTGGGGGTTCCCATGTTCCCTGGTGCTTCACTCCAATACACTGGACCCTGGTGAACTGACTTGTGTCCTACATGATCACATGACCATCTATGTGTAAATCTTACAAGGAGAGTTGCCACTGGATTTGTTGTCCCCCCAGAATATCCAGAATGTTCTCATCTTTCGATCCTTAAATGATCACATCTGCAAAGAACCCTTTTCTAAATAAGTTCACATTCATAGGCTGTAGAGCCCTTCTTCACCTTCCAGCATCTGGACATACCTTTTTTCAAGGTTACCGGTCTGCCCAGTATACCAACAAATCACATTTTAATAATAAGCACAAACCACCATCTAATCGAATCCTCCCAATTCTGAGGTGTAGGTGCCAATATCATCCCCATTATACAGATGAGGAAACTGAGATTTAGAGAGGGAAAGTGACATCCCCAAGCTTTGACCCCAGCAGCAGACACTCAGTTATTAAGCTGTAGAGCCAGGATTCAGGTGCAGAGGTTGGCCTGCAGAGCTCAGAGGTTAAACCATCTCTATCTTGCACTCCAGACCCACATTAAAGAGTGTTGGGGGCTGGCACAGGATGAGATGAGGGGGAAACATCACAGTAGGGGCAAGGTGGGCCAGGCTGCCCTGTAACCTCCTTGGGCCCAGCAGCTGTTGCGGCTACTCAGAGTTCTCTTCCCCTCTGAACAGAGGGAGAGGCCACCTTGCTCAGCCTCGATTCTGTTCTCACAGGAAGAACTACAATGCCTTGTGCCAGATGTATGAGAAGATTCAGCCCCTTCTGGAAAACTTGCACCGGAACTTCATAGAAACTCAGAACAACATTGGTGAGCAACGAAGAATGAGAGAACTAGGTGGGGGGGGCGGGAGGGGTGCTTGGCTAAGTCATTCCCACCCCCTTCT